TTTTTGCACTTTGAAGGCTCAAAAGCCCCTTTCCATTTAGTTGTCGATTGATAAAAGTTCCCCTATTAATAGTTTTTCAGAGTGAGTTTTGTTTTATGCCGCTTTTAGCAATATTCCAGCAATATCACGGCAAGGGATACCAGAAATGGGCGTCACATATTGTACCCACTTGGGGAATCGAACCTAGGCCGAAATTTCTAATTGAAACATAAAATTCATCAGCCTATTTCATATTTCACACGAAACTGCTAACCTGGGCTCCCTAACCTGCTTGTATCAATATCATCCAGATACAGAAAATATCAATATATTATCAACTAACACATGACATATCAACATTAAACATTTCCAACAAATGACACCCCAGATAAACCCCCCATTTCAGCAGATCCAACAGTGTCAAACAGTCCCAATCCATGTCTATAAATAAATAGCAGATTATTTGACTACTGGCAGGCACAAATGCACAGATGCATGCACGCACAAACTTTTGGGCTAATGTCCGTGGACACATTCTGAAATCCTGGCAAGTGAATGAAAGGAAACATTCAGTCAAGATGCTAATGCTTGGAAAGTGAATTAGTATTTGGAAAATTATTGACTTCTCCACTGACAACTCAAATCCACAATACTATATGCTACTTTCTGTTCCCTTCCCGTCATAAGGACAAGTGATATATCTGAAGCACACTGAGACATCTCAAGCACACTGAGACATTTCAAGCACAGTGAGCACTGCCTGACTGTTCCCTGTCACCAGACCAATCAAGGCTACTTGGCACGTTCACTGCCCACCCGACTGAATGGACATCATATTGATCACATGGTGCCCAGGTCAGAATCAAATTATTATGGATTTACGCTACATCTCGGGCTACTCCTTCCTGGATTACACACTAAAAGGACAGTACATTCAGCCCTGAGCATGGCTGCCCCCAGCAGGACATCAGTCTGTGCAGGACTCTTGAAATAGACATTCATCTTGGATGTCAACTCTAGGGTTTGCCTTTAATGCAATCAAGTGATCAGGAAAGAGAGTTGCTTTACACAGCAAATATATTTATCACATATATTGTCATCCTTTACAAAGATTCCATAATGTTTGGATCAAACTCATATAAGTTTATCACTACATTGTCATTAACTATCACTTGCTGAAGGGATAATCTGGTGTCAGTATTTGAAAAGAAGGGGTCAGAATACTTGTTTACTGGCCTAGGATATTAGTGTGTTTGGGATAATAATCTTACTGTGACAGTATCTCCCCTGATTTACAAAGCACCCTCTAACATATGATTTGGTTTGACTTTGAGCACCTTCGCAAATATGCTAAAGGCAGTAAAATCTTCCTTTTTCTTATGACTGCTGAAAGATTTCCATCAATATTGTGTTGACTTTTGATGTCCCGAAAGTAACAATATAATTCATGTTTCCATGGTAACCTAGTTTTCAATAGTGATATACATTCATGACTATTCTGAAGACGACCATTACTCTGACTGCAGGATGCTACTTTCATTTGGAAACTCCATGCATATTTCAAAATGTTACCCTCGTGTCCACTGAACAGCACATATATATAGATTACATCTGACTTCCCAGCTGAAGAAATATACAGCCCTGATCATGCTGATTAAGGTTTGTCATATGATCTCTATAATGTCTATAATCTAAACTCTAATTACACAAGGACATCTACATTATACACCAAGGAGATCTCTATAATGTCTATAATCTAAACTCTAATTACACAACGACATCTACATTATACACCAAGGAGATCTCTATAATGTCTATAATCTAAACTCTAATTACACAACGACATCTACATTATACACCAAGGAGATCTCTATAATGTCTATAATCTAAACTCTAATTACACAAGGACATCTACATTATACACCAAGGAGATCTCTATAATGTCTATAATCTAAACTCTAATTACACAAGGACATCTACATTATACACCAAGGAGATCTCTATAATGTCTAATAGATAAATGTCTATCTAATTACTCATACATTATACACCAAGGGACATCTAATCTATTATACACTAACAGGAGATCTAATTACACAGCGACATCTACATTTATACACATGTCTATAATGTCTATTCTAATTACACTAATTACATCTACATTAAACTCTAATTATTAATAAGGACATCTACATTATACACCAAGGAGATACACCAAGGAGATCTCTATAATGTCTATAATCTAAACTCTAATTACACAACATCTACATTATCTACACACCAAGGACATCTACATTATACACCAAGGAGATCTACTATAATGTCTCTATAATCTAAATCTCTAATCTACACAATTACACAAGGACATCTACATTATACACCAAGGGAGATCTCTATCTACATTATACTAAACTCAAGGAGATCTCTATAATGTCTATAATCTAAACTCTAATTATCACACTCTAATTACGACATCTACATTATACACCAAGGAGATCTCTATAATGTCTATAATCTAAACTCTAATTACACAAGGACATCTACATTATACACCAAGGAGATCTCTATAATGTCTATAATCTAAACTCTAATTACACAAGGACATCTACATTATACACCAAGGAGATCTCTATAATGTCTATAATCTAAACTCTAATTACACAAGGACATCTACATTATACACCAAGGATATCTCTATAATGTCTATAATCTAAACTCTAATTACACAACGACATCTACATTATACACCAAGGAGATCTCTATAATGTCTATAATCTAAACTCTAATTACACAAGGACATCTACATTATACACCAAGGAGATCTCTATAATGTCTATAATCTAAACTCTAATTACACAAGACATCTACATTTATACACCACATCTACATTATACACCAAGGATATCTCTATAATGTCTATAATCTAAACTCTAATTACACAAGCGACATCTACATTATACACCAAGGATATCTCTATAATGTCTATAATCTAAACTCTAATTACACAAGGACATCTACATTATACACTATAATCTAATTACTCTAATTACACTGCAGGAGATCTCTATAATGTCCTAATTACACAAAACATCATCTACATTATACACCAAGGAGATCTCTATCTACATTGGACTCTAATTACACAACGACATCTACATTATACACCAGGAGATCTCTAAATGTCTATAATCCTAAACTCTAGATTATACACCAAGGAGATCTCTATAATGTCTATAATCTAGATTCTAATTACACAAGGATCATACATTACACCAAGGAGATCTCTAAACTCTAATTACACAAGGGACATCTACATTATATACACCAGGAGATCTCTATAATCTAAATTCTCTAATTACACAACGACATCTACATTATACACCAAGGAGATCTCTATAATGTCTATAATCTAAATTCTAATTACACAAGGACATCTACATTATACACCAAGGAGATCTCCATAATGTCTATAATCTAAATTCTAATTACACAAGGACATCTACATTATACACCAAGGATAGCTGCATAACTGAACTAACTGGTCATAAAGATTCAACAAGATAAGGACATTACACCTGAGGTCATCCCAAAGCCTATTGCCATATAAACATTAATGACATAACCCAGGCCAATTGCACTCTATCAGTGAGGTATTATTATATAACAGTGATCAAGGCATCAACTTGAGGAGGAGGAAGCTGCCATTCATTGTCCACTTGTCTGTGCCTAGCTGTAACAATGGGACACGGCCATCACATACTCTTCACCACCTTTATCATACCCCTAGGGATGTAATGGTTTGAAAAACCTTGCACAAGTTACTCCTCTTACTGAAACTGTTTCCTATCCAATTAACTGAGTGAGTCAGTGAGTTTAGTTATACGCCACACTCAGCAATATTCCAGCTATATGGCGGCTCCAATTAACTGTTTTCATAAAAATGCTCAAAACACTGACAGCTCAATACTCTGCTACATTCTACTGTTTTAACAGCAAGGAGACTGTCAGTGACAGAGCGCGCTATCATATTACATTAGTAACAGCTGCAAATTGTGTATTGACTGTGAGCATGGTGAACATGTGACATTGTCACAACAGTTATACTCATATTTCCAATGTACTCCATACACTCCAAATGAATTCTCCTAACATTGAACTAGGATGACTAAGACAAGCTTGTAGATACTGAAGTCAGTCAGATTTTACATGTTTTATTGAAGAAGATTAGATTTTTAATATTTATCCAACAAACTTTTATCCATATAAAACATGTACATATAGTATTCTTATTTATTGTATAACACAAGGTTTCTGGCCACTTCTTGAAGAAGGGGCAAAAAAGTGGCCCAGAAACATTGTGTTATACAACAAATATGAAGTTGCCATCCATATACTTGTCATATATTCACCAACTTCTAAATGCCTCTCAAGAAACTTTTATCCATAAACATGACATCAAAAGAATGTGGGACAAGTCAAACTAACTGATGAACACAGAACAAGTGACAATACAGAGGTATGATGGCCCCAGTCTGATCAAGAGCTGAAACCAGAGTCCTACTTTAAGCCAGCTCTTGATGGAAGAAGGGACATTGTGGTGATGATGACCATGTAGCTATTTTACCATGGAATTATCACCCGCTCAGATATCTGGCATCAGACAATTGTTGTCATGTAACTGTAAATTATATCATCCAGTTTTATCCAGAGAAGACTGGAAAGTGGTTACCTTGGTACCTAAACTCACTTCACACACGCTGGTAATCATTTCCAGACCAGTAGTATTATTTCCAAGGAATGGGTTCCAGACCAGTGGAAGTCAGGGATCTCTGTTACAATCCTAATATTTAAGCATGAAGACTTACTGCCTTTCTAGATTCAACATGAAACAAATAAATTTAGCTGTGACACCAGTCAATAACTCTGCAATACTGTTTTCGCCGGTCAGAGTTATTTGATGTTTCTCAAATTCATAGCATGTGTGATGACAATAACCTTGATTCTATGAAGTAATTACCTACCTGATGACATGTGATAAGTATGGCTGCCACAGCAAAGGTTCCAGCAATTCCCTGAGCAGCTTGGGTTTGTAGAAAGATGAGAGGTTGATGTGTCGCATTGGTAGTGCCATTAGGCACCAGTGGCTCTGTCGTAATGTCAGACACCATAGCTGTTGTTATTTTACTGATGATGGATGATGTCACCGAGGGGGCAACACTTGAGTTGCCCCCATTGGACTCTGTGGTGTTTTCTGAACTCATCTGAAACAGGAACACATATTCATGTTAAAGACAACAGTTCTTAACATGTGTCAAGACTCAAACCAAAAAGTGATTAGCAATACATTAAAGTAGGCGGTTTGTTTTGCAAACTACATAATATGTATGAAAAGTTTGATTAGTTTGAGACTCTTATTGTTAATCCCTCATTATGGCAACTCTTTATAACATAGCATTAGATTGATTGTTGTTTAACACTGCACTCAGCAATAATCCAGCTATATGGCGGCGGTCTGCAAATAATAGAGTATGGACTACACAATCCAGTGATCAACATTATGAGCATTGATCTGCTCAGTTGGGATACGATGACATGTGTCAACCAAGTCAGTGAGCCTGATCACTCGCAGTTAGTAGCCTGTTACGGCAAACATGGGTTGCTGAAGACCAATTCCAACCCAGATCTTCACAGGTTGTAACCGGTAGTAGCTGATGATCTTCATGGGTAACATAGCATTAGAAAAAAAAGCAGGAAGAGTGAAGTCAGTGAGTGACTATGGTTTTATGTTGCTTTTAGCAATATTCCAGCAATATGGCAGCAGGGGACACCAGAAATATGCTTCACACTTTGTACCCATGTATGAACGCTTTAACCATTAGGTTACCTAAATGTTCCAGAAGAGTGAAGTGACTTATTGAACTTGGATACAGTGTATTATGTATACAAAGCAAGGTCACCTGTAGATTTAAACCCACTAAATTGAATTTGAAACAGAATGCACAATGTTAACTTCTGTGCAATTTACTCTACAGGTCATCTAGATCTATGTTAGGAACCCAAGCATATTTATCACCATTCTATCATCACAAAACTGTTATGTGACAGCTACGATATTGATTGAAACAGAATGGGTTTGGTTTTGCGTTGCTTGTCTATCTGAAGTAAGGAAACACCTACAATAGCCATGAAACATTGCTTGTTAGTATGTTACTGAATCATCATACTAAACTTCACTCTCATAATAAACAGTTATAAAAAGGATGCGGTACATTAACTTTGTAAGAGTGGAGCAGCCATCACAAAAGGGAGTTCAGCACTGCACATTATTATTATCATGACACACACCACACACCGTGACACAGTACATGATGCTGCCTTTGGTTAGTGAAAAGTGACAAATTTCAAACTTTCTTAGGATCAATTAAATCTGAAATACAATATCTCAGACAATGTATTATTGTAATCTCACAGTCATATTTTAACTCATAATCATGGTAATTGAAAACCTGTGGAATCATGTTTCAATCCAGGGTGGTTATCGGCTATTGTGATTTGACACTTAATATTGCAATCAGAACTGATTAACATCATTAAATTCAAAATTTATGGCAGAATGTTTATATCGAGCCATTTCTGCTCAGTTCATTGTATCAATGGCCTGAACACATGGTAAATTCTCAAGTCTGAACAGGGAAGTCTGGTGACCGAATACATGAGCACTAATTTTTGCTCTTCAAGGATGACAACATCAATCAGACAAGTAACCATGGTCAAGGCGCTTGATCCAAATTGGTTGGCTCATTTGTTATGGCCAACACTTGGGTAATGATTTGCAGTGAAACTTTTATCATACTGCTGGTATTGATTTTTTCATGCCCACATATGATAAACCAACTGTTTTTAAGAATGAAATACATCATATGAAAATGTTTCTGACAAATAACACAGACATTAACAAAAGTAAACAGTCTGAAAACTAAAACTACTATAAAAATCTATGAAAATTTTATAAAGTACATTCAGGACACTGCCTAGGCAGATCTCTATTTTCTAAAGATATTATAATTTAGAAGTTCGTCCCTTCATCAACCTTTTCGCTACATTGACAGATAAAACAGATGAAATATCAATATTGGAACCAACAACCTAAAATATGGTTTTTTCTTCACTTTTTCACAGCAGTACATTTAAGAAAAGCAAATGCCAGAAAGTGCCTCCCAAAATGGTAGGTATAATATGATGTCAGTTTCTGTATATACACACAATAATATACATACAATTGTCAGTAACAAAAAAAAAAAAAAACCTTGAAAAACTGATGGGGACCTGTGATCAACATGAACACGATGAAATAAATGACTGAATGGGGATCATGAAGCTTAATTGCTCTGAATCGCAATGTTTGATTATTGATATTCTTTAAATAGCAAAACAACAGGGGTGAGTTTGTCATTATGTCAAGCATAAACACAACAACTTCTTGGATAATTCCAACCGAAAAATAATTACGGTATTAAATTCCTTTAGTGGCTTCAGAACAAATCATAATTAATGATGCAGCCATTATCTTGATCAATACTGCCTGTAAAACGTATTTTTCGTTTCCTGTTCAAAGACATACAATTGCAAACCTATCATCAAATTATTATGAATATATACATGAATTCTATCAACAGCTGATTTATTCTGAAGTGAACAAGTGTCAGCAGTCAGGACTGGTTCCGTTCGAAGAAGCTTTCTGTCTTCCGTCTGTCACTTCGATTCGACTACTTTCAAAGCTGGCGATCGGTCATACATACCCTCCTGTTCTCTCTAGATATTTGTACACACGATCTTCATTTCATAATTCAGATAATCCAAACGTATGACAAATATAAATCCAATATAAACTGAGCGCTGTTTTGACACACAAAATTGTCAATATATCTTCCGATAGCAAATGGCGATAACAGGAAGTGACGTACGCGCACCTGAGGATGACGCGAAAAATGAATCTGACAGATTCAAGACTTTCCTGAACACATTTCTAAAGTAATCCTCCCTTTTGGTAGAACTAAATCGCTTTGACAATCGTAACTATTTGCTTAAGAGTTTCTACACAGACACCGTAGTGCATACATTTTCATTTAATAACACTTGCGTTGATATCTATTTCCATTGGTTACCTCCCTTACTGGCGTTTCTAATATCGAAGTTAAAGACAGAAAAGGAAAGTGGCGGGAACTGTGTGTGCAGTTTTCGTGATAACAATAATAAATACATAATATTTCTGGCATTATACACTTAACCGTCATCATGCAGAAGTCAATTATGTAAGTATGTTAATCACAGTTCGTAGTTAGGATTGATACGATTGTTGACGATTTGAAACAAAATATTCGGGATCATTGGGTTTAATTTCATTTTGATCTGTATATTGAACATGTTGATCCTGGTTAGTAACGCAGGCAGGCTTAAATGTCACCGATCTTATCTGGAGGAAACCACACTCTCCAAATGAAGATCAAGCGAAAGCGACCTGTTGTATTTAGAATAAAGATACAAGTTAAGAACTTACAAAGATATGTAGTTAGTGACCGTTCATGATTTATGGCTAAGGGGGATGGTGATGATTTTTATGGAGACGCATTTACAGTGTGAAGGACACGACAAACCCCATTTTATAACCCCTATGCATGTCATGTACAAAATAAAAGTCCCCTTCTATAATTTTAAGCAGAATTTTTATGCTAGTATTAGCAAAATTGCTGAAACACCCCCAAATCGAGTACATGTGTACAAAATTGATAACCCACTCAACCTCCCCAGAACAAAATGGGTGACCCCTTAACAATCATCACCCTACCCCACCCCCCAGCCATAAATTATGAATGGACCCTTATTATTATTCATTGGTAACCACGATTTTACTGATTTTGTCACTATTTCGGAGTTTTCCACATATCACTAATGCTGAAGGGGTCGTACCCTAGCCAGAAACGTACCCTATCCAAAATAAGAATACAGAAGCGTACCTTAGGACAAGTCCATTCCACACTGCACCTTTTCCTTCATCTGAACTGTCATACTATTGTATGAAGTGCATTTGTTTGCGAGTAAGACATAGTAACGAATATTTTTGCGATGCACAATACCACTCGCTATCATTTGAACAAGAACAACCAAATACGGTTTCAGTTTTGTGTTGTGGAATATGGACTCATACCATCGCTACATTTGAACGAACAACCAAATGTAGGGTACCGGGGGTAGATGCGTTTCTGTATTTTGACTTTGTTTATGGTTCATTTCTGTATACAGAAATGTTCCTGGGGTACCTGTTGCCTTTTTAATCGTTGTTAATCAGGTTGACGATGGACATTTTTACTTTGGAAGTCAGCAAAGAAGTTGTGTAAACCATGTGACTTTCCAGTGAAGATATATTCCACAAAGTAGTGATTACCAGGCAAAAATCAATACAGAATGGCTTCTCAAAAACAACACATTTTTACAGAAATGAACCACATTTCTCAGATGGAAACATCATACAATAAAATATTTGGTATATATTAAGATAATAAGTGTGATATTCCCCATTGGAATAGGTACTTCATTTATTGCTCTTTTTTACAACATTCCAACTATAGTTTTATATTACACATTCAGTCAACATTGACGATATTCATAATTGTCATGAATATTTTTGCCATGTCTACATGCTCTAGACATGGTTGATGGGCCGTAAACTGAAGTAGTATGGATAGACATTGTCATAACCTACAGTTCACAGCACTGTAAAATGCTGACTTGAGGAATGGTCAGCTTTGACCTTAACTTACTGGTTAATAATGAAGAAATTACCTTAGAATAAACATCAACAGGCTCTTTCTGTTCATGTGTCTGGCACTGTCTGCTAGGCCCTGACCATTCTCAGTGATGTCATCTTGGACCATATCCTCCTGGTCAGTGAGGTGGACAGTGGGTTTCACCTGACATGACCAAGAGTGTGACAGATGTTCATCCGGAGAGGAATTGATTTGGAGTAGGCAAAACAGTTTTCTTCAGATTGGTATTAAACAACATTCACTGTTCAATAAGTTAAAAAATGGTGTGTAAGATGGAGAACTGTTCATAGTTTGCATCACTTACAGTATATACAAGAACAACAATCTGTTACCCAACAAGCTTGATTATTCTGCAAAGGTTCTAGGCTGTGATTTAGAAAGCAGGTCGGGAATCGTCACTTTAAGTATGTGGAGATAATCTAAACTGTGTTTTAGTATGTTTGATGTTTGTCATTACATTTACTTTATCACAGCTGTTTTTTTATATACACAAGACTATACTACCATAAAAACAGAGTTTGTTTTGTAAACTTGTTGCATGATTGTGTTTTGTTGTATTGATATCAAAAGGGAAACATTATGTATCCAAGGAAAACCAAGTTTTATGGATGGTCAACTTTTTTTGGCAATGGGTGCGACGTTTCGGTGTAGGTACTAACACCGTTATCAAGCAAGTGCTTCATCTTCATCTAATGCCTCTCAAAGAAATTATGTATCCATAATGTTTAATTATGAAAGTCAAGAGATTTGTTTTAAAAATAAAATGCTAAGCACTTTAATTCCTTTATCATCTGCTCAGGGAGTTACCTTGAGTCCTGTATTTCAGGGTCCCTTGGACTCAAACTCTTAATTTTCAGGGGTCCTGGACTGCAAAATGGGGGTCCCAGACACTTAAATATTATAATTTTTCTTATCCTGACTCATGATCTTTTGCTTATCTGCCTTTTCTTTTCGAATGGTAGTGGAAACACTTGAATCCCTTGAAGTTCCCGAAGTGGACGTAAAAATACACTCACCCACGAGTTACCTCCCTTTTGCCCTTTTCCCGCGCAAACAGTCATGTGACCAGCCTTACTTGTCACTCTCTCCCTTTTCGCCCAAGTGGATGGTTGGGCGAGCACTGGAGTCCCATATACGGCATTATATCCTTTTCATTTAGATCCTATTCTTCAAAATTACGCTGTGTATGGATTTGGCAATAACTACTTTGTATTATATGAAAAAAAATCTACAATTTAATAAATATTTGTCTAATATCTATAGACGTGCCATGGATCGAGTGAGGAAGTCATCTCAAGTCACGGCTGATAAAACAGGAGATCAGCCTGCAAACCGTATGTTGCTTGCTACTGCTGAAATTCATAATACTGGTGCTATGTTGAGTACGTTGCAGGGGCAGTCTGCTGGTACAGGGGCTAAGAAGAGATCTGCTACAACGCAGTTGACTCCAACTCAAGCTAAGAAAAAGACGTCATCCTCTTCTACATCGCTGAAGAAAGCATCTGTTACCAGATCGGAGGGTTAATCTACGCGGGCTAGTAAGTCAACGCATCAGAAATCCTTCAACGAAGAGATATTACCTCCACATAAAGTAGACGTTTTTCGATGATCCCCCACTACTTCTACCCGAAGTGCCTACGAGATCAGCGACTCAATTGACGTCTACAACTACTAGATCGTCTTCTGCAACGGTCACAGCAGGACAGCTGTTTGACGAACTACCACCTACCTCTCACCGCAGTAAAGTCGAGAACGCTTCTTCTACACCGCAGCAGCTTCAACCAACGCAGAACTTTGACCCGAGTGAATTTATGAGACAATTCACCAACCAGATGATGACCATGATGGAACGCAGGTTAAAGGAAGAAGCGAAGGCTCGGCGAAGCCTCCTATCTACCGACACCGTGCGCAAACCTACGGACCTGCGCGAACCTACTGACCTGCGCGAACCTACTCCTCAGAGAAAACTTCGTCTCAAGACTACGTTGGCGAACGTACACCTTTATGAAGGTCTCCACAGTCGGACGACTCTGTCATCTTGGAGGAGGATAGAAGACATGAGATGCCTACTCATCATTCTACATCTGCGAACCTTCAACGTTCGAGAACATCGAAGGATTGGGCTACTTGCATCCTGTTCATGGAGTGACAGATTCACCCAACCGCTACTGAGAGCTCCATGGGAGGCGCCTACTTTCTTTGGAGGACAAATAGACAAGGCAGCTAAGGAAGCTACGCTCTAGAGAAGTGATGATGATAAAATCCATAGATACTATGGCCAATGTCATCCGTCATACTTCGCAAAAGTATAACAGCAAGTCCAAATATTCCGGCATACAGAAGGCAAAGGAGAAGAAGTACTCCAGCTTCCGAGGCGGCAAAGGATCTTTTCGTCGCCCATCCGGAAATTACAGAGGAAACTCATGGAGAGGCCGCACTCCCAGAGGATCCAGAGGAACTAGACATTGATATCAGGGTTCGGAATGACTGGAGTCTTCCACCCCAGCCGTTCCTGTAAAACCATCGACAGTGGGTGGACGTCTACAAAGGTACTGGAAAAATTGGGGAATACTAGAGGACGACTACGACTCCCAAGTACTACGAGAAGGATACAGAGTACATCTCAAGGCCACACCTCCGCTAACCCTCAGCCCGACGGTCTCGACTATGCAGAGGAGCAGGCAGACAAACTACAAGAAGCCATCAACTCACTACTTATGAAAGAGGCGGTAGAGATAATAGATCAGCATCATCTCACTCCAGGCTTCTACTCCCCAATTTTTCTAGTACCCAAGAAGAACTCCAAGGAGAAGTTCAGACTGATTTACAACATGCGCAAATTCAACAAAGACTATCTACTGAAACCAGACAGGTTCAGAATGATCCAGAATGATCCACCTACCTCAACTCAGCTCACCTACCTCAACTCAACTCAGACTTCTCGTCCGTCCAGCAGATTACATGGCCAGCATAGACCTGCAGGATGCGTACCTACACATCCCCATACATCCAGAATCAAGAAAGTATCTGCAATTCCTATTCAGAGGGCAGCACTCCCAATGGAACGTCCTACCGTTTGGAATATATTCGGCTTCATGGCTATTCACATGAGTAACCAAGCCTATAGTCACATATCTACATCATCGAGGTCTACGCAATGCCTTCTACTTGGACGACAGAATTCAGGTTCACCAAGATGCCAGTCTACTCAAACTACAACTGAACTTCACAATCAAGTTGCTCACTCAACTAGGATGGCTGGTGAACCTACTGAAGTTAGAGTTAGAACCAAAACAAGATCTGCAATTTCTGGGGATAAGGTTTATCACAACACAGAATCGTATTGTCGTCCCAGAAGATCGTTGGGTCAAGATACAAGCCATGATTCCACGAGCAGTCATCTCTCTGTTAACAATAAAATCATGGAAAGTCCTACTCGGTCAACTAACCATGGCGCAGGGCTTGACTCGCACAGAAAGGTTACAACT